TGCCCATGAGGGTGTGGTGTGCCCCCGGGGGTGTGGTGTGCCCTTGGTGGGTGTGGTGTGACCTCGGAGGTGTGGTGTGCCCCCGGAGGTGTGGTGTGTCCCCGAGGGTGTGGTGTGCCCCAGGGGTGTTGTGTGTCACCGGGGGTGTTGTGTGCCCCCAGGGGTGTTGTGTGCCCCAGGGGTGTTGTGTGCTCCCGGGGGAGTGGTGTGCCCCCGAGGGTGTGACCCCGTGGGTGTTGCGTGCCCTCGGGGGTGTGGTGTCCTCCCGGGGGTGTGGTGTGCCCCCAGGGGTGTGGTGTGCCTGCGGGGATGTGGTGTGCCTTTTTGGATGTGGTGTTTTTTGGGGGGTGTGGTGTGCCCCCGGGGGTGTGGTGTGCCTCCGGGGGTGTGGTGTGCCTCCGGTGATTTGGTGTGCCCCTGGAAGGTATGGTGTGCCCTCGGGGGTGTGGTGTGCCTTTGGGGGGTGTGGTGTGCCTCGGCAGGGTGTGGTGTGCCCCTGGGGGTTGTGGTTTGCCCCTGGGGTGTGTGATTTTCCCCCGGAGGTGTGATGTGCCCCCAGCGGTGTGGTGTGCCCTCGGGGGTGTGGTGTTCCCCTAGAGAGAGTGGTGTGCCCCCGGGGGTGTGGTATGTCCCTGGAGTGTGTGGTGTGCCCCCAGGGGTGTGGTGTGCCCCAGGAGGGGTGTGGTGTGCCCCAGGGGGTGTGGTGTGCCCCTGGGGGGTGTGGTGTGCCCCTTGTGTTATTGGTGTGCCCCTGGGGGGTATGGTGTGCTCCTGGGGGGTTTGGTGTTCCCCAGGGGGTGTGGTGTGCCCCTGGGTGGTGTGGTGTGCCCTCGAGGGTGTGGTGTGCCCTCGGGGGTGTCAGAAAGTCCGACACCATTTAATAATATCAATACAATTGCAGATATAATTGCTGCGTTGTATAAACAAGTTACCCATAGGAAATGTAGCTTGTAGTGGAATTTTCCGTCTATAGAAAACGAGATATCATTGCCACATACTATTATAAATTCACCAGTTATTCTGCTGGGAATTATTCTTAAATACATTAGTCTTTGGACTTTACCATCATAAAACATCTCATATAAATTAACTTAATTATCAATATTAAAATAGAGTAAATGTGACCCTTCTATCACTTCCTGACATCTCTACAAAGTGAGGGAGGCGTCAGTGAGGAGGGAGTGGTCAGCCATTGTTCTTAGACCAGAGTCGCGGAGCAAATTACGGCTCCTATAAATTCTCTTGGACGAAATGTTATGGAAGATCAGAGTAGTGATCTGCCATCATCAACACTCTGTCAACAATCTCAAGGGAAGTGTTTTTCCGAAACCCGTTTATCTAATCATTTTTGGCCATTAATGTTAGGTAGATATTGGGGAACCGGTTAGAACACGAATGATCGACTCAAAATAGGTAATTAAGCCTTGGTCCTTATTTGATCTATTGTACAGTTTTCTCTGATATACCTGTCATATATTAGGATTCTGGCTTTATAGCTAGCGTTCTTTGACAGGAACAAGAAGAGGAAACAAGCTTGGTATCAGTTACTGGGTGTTGGAAGCAGCCTCAAATGAGGATAATTTGGTATCTACATTTTAGTTATACCTGGTGGACTAAGGCCTGCTGTACCATAAGATAAGGAACCTCCTCAATGTTTACTAATGTATGTAGTTTAATACTGTAGTTTGATTGGCTGCATATATATAAATTCAATATAAACCCCCCCTAATGTGTAAGGATCGATTTGTGAGATTATTGCAGAAATGCAGTCCACTTAACATCATACAAATTGCTATCGAAATATATAAATTAAAGTTAATATAAATTCTATATAAATTCATATAAATTAAATAAATATAAATCTCAGGTCGGTTCCCACAGAGGGTGTGGTGTGCCCTCGGGGGTGTGGTGTGCTCCCAGGGGTGTGGTGTGCCCCTGGGGGGTGCGGTTATCCCCTGGAGGGTGTGGTGTGTGCCCCAGGGGTGTGGTGTACCTCGGGGGTGTGGTGTTCCCTCGGGTGTGTGGTGTGCCCCCGGGGGTGTGGTGTGCCCCCGGGGGTGTGGTGTGCCCTTGGGGGTGTGGTGTTCCTCTGGGGGATGTGGTGTGCCCCCGGAGGTGTTGTGTGCCCTCGGGGGTGTTGTGTGCCCCTGGGAGTGTGGTGTGTCTCGGGAGTGTGGTGTACCCCCAGGGGTGTGGTGTGCCCCTGGGGGATGTGGTGTGCCCCCGGAGGTGTGGTGTGCCCCCGGGGGGGTGGTGTGCCCCCCGGAGGTGTGGTGTGCCCCCGTAGGTGTGGTGTGTCCCCGGGGGTGTGGTGTGCCCTCGGGGGTATGGTGCGCCCCCGGGGGTGTGGTGTGACCCCGGGGGTGTAGTGTGCCCCGGGTATGTTGTAACACAGTAAAGGTGTTTTGCATTTAATATATATATAGAACAGGAGTCGCATACAAGATTTCGAGAGGCACCAGGTTGGTGGCCCTTAGTAACTAAGAAACTCTCACCTCTAAGTATTAATGGCCACCAAGAGACCAAGGTCAGGTCGTGGGAAGTTAACCTGGTCTACGCTAAGCTGATAATTGCAGGCGGCTAGCCGGGAGTGACATTCAAACATTCCGCCAATTTAAGGTGTGGCTTGGTAGAGTGCCTGGGGCTATCTACTTGGGGGCGGAGTTAGCTAGTTGGTCCCCAATATAACCCAGGGTACTGTGCACTCGAGGGATAGATATAAAGAGACAGACAGCAGACAGGAGAACAGCCAGCAGAGCAGAACCGAGAGGCTGTGAGCCGGACGGGGTGGGACAGTCTCTGTCCACTACAGTCCCCCATCCCCCCCTCTCTATCCAGCTATAGGCAGACACTTGGTGAGTTGAACATGAAAGGTGACGTAGTCGTGTTTACTAGTGTTGTGTGACAATCAGGGGGCAGACGGCTGTAATGGTCTCGAATTCTGGTGTAGTGACTCACTTGGTACATTAATAATGAACCTTTAGTTCGATTGCTTGAATTCTGATATTCATCATGCTAAATAAATAGTTGATTCATTTACTTTTAATTTGACTTTAATTGCGTTCCCGAGTTCTTGGAATTTCTGATACATGGCAAACTCGAGTTAGTAACTAATAAAATCTTGCCTGGAACATGATTCCAGTTAAATCATGTTTATAATGACATCTTAGAGAATTTTGTGATTCCGACAAGTTCCATTCCTGGTCTTGTATATAATGGTCTTGAGTGGATGGTGGCAGTCTACCTTCTGCTATCTACTTTCCTACTTCTACCTATCAACCATTCTACCTCTACCACTACTTCCATTTCATCTCCGTACCCTCTCTCTCTTTCACCTGACCACACTCCTCCCGCCTAGTCCTCCCTACTCCCTCACCCCAAACCCTCACTAATTACTTCATTATTCATCTCTTTCCTTTCGTTTTTTTGATTCGTTCGTGGCCGTGAACTGTTCTAGTGTTTTTCTAGAGTCGCGGGTAGCTGATCAGGTTACAATGCCTTGTTGTCGTGACACCTAGGTAATCAAATACCTAGGTCACAAGGTGTTGAACTAGAGGCTGCAGTAGGGACTCTATGGAGAGCTTTAGATTAGCTAACTAGGGGGTGGAATAATGGACAAAAGAGAGCCATTTCCTCCACCCTCCCGTTAGGATAAATAACTAGGGGTGGGATAATGGACAAGATAGAGCTATTTCCCCCACCTCCCGTTACAGTGTGGTGTACCCCCGGGGGTGTGGTGTTCCCCCGGGAGTGTGGTATGCCCTCCGTGGAGTGATGTGCCTTCCGGGTTATTGCGTGCCCCGGGGGTGTGGGTTTGTGGTGTGCCACAAGGGATGTGGTGTAGCCCCAGTACTTATTCGACCCAGGACCAGCCACCAGTCCACACTCCACCAAGGACCAGCCACCAGTCCACACTCCACCAAGGACCAGCCACCAGTCCACACTCCACCAAGGACCAGCTACCAGTCCACACTCCACTCAGGACCAGCTACCAGTCCACACTCCACCCAGGACCAGCCACCAGTTCACACTCCACAATGGACCAGCCACCAGTTCACACTCCACCAAGGACCAACCACAAGTTCACACTCCACCCAGGACCAGCCACCAGTTCACACTCCACCCAGGACCAGCCACCAGTTCACACTCCACTCAGGACCAGCCACCAGTTCACACTCCACCCAGGACCAGCCACCAGTCCACACTCCACCAAGGACCAGCCACCAGTTCACACTCCAACCAGGACCAGCCACCAGTCCACACTCCACCAAGGACCAGCCACCAGTTCACACTCCAACCAGGACCAGCCACCAGTTCACACTCCACCCAGGACCAGCCACCAGTCCACAATCCACCCAGGACCAGCCACAGTACTCACTCGACCCAGGGCCAGCCACAGTACTCACTCGACCCACTGCCAGCCACAGTACTCACTCGACCCAGGGCCAGCCACAGTACTCACTCGACCCACTGCCAGCCACAGTACTCACTCGACCCACTGCAAGCCACAGTACTCACTCGACCCACTGCCAGTCACAGTACTCACTCGACCCACTGCCAGCCACAGTACTCACTCGACCCACTGCAAGCCACAGTACTCACTCGACCCACTGCCAGTCACAGTACTCACTCGACCCAGGGCCAGTATTCCCATCCCTCACTTCCATTATGGTTAGCTCCACAGACTTTATTAGAATATTTTACTTCTTTTATTCTGGCACAGCTGCGCATAGAAGAGGAACAGTGTTGACGTTTTTCACAGGTACGACGTTGATGAACAATGAACACGACATTAATGAACAATGAACACGTCGTTGACGAACAATGAAACACAACAATAACGAAGCATAAATATGTTCTATATAAAATCATATAATAATTAGCACACTCCAGCAGTTTGGAGTAATTCTGTCTTAGCACGAGATGGTACACCTAGTAACTCAAAAAAGTTATTTATTATGGCTTGTTTTATACAAAAGAATGTTGTGCTCTATACTTACTTACGCAGATGAGTTACAGCTTGAAGATACTGCTGTGGTTCTAATGGTTGTTCCAAGTGCAAGGTAAAATATCCGCAATGGCGCCAAGTGCCATGTTTGTTCATGGCTATCATGTCCTCTACCCTGCCATCGCCTGGGTGAAGCCACTTCACCTCCTGCACTTCATTCCTGAGGAAATATAATAATTACTTTAGAGAAAATTAGGAACCAAATATAGTTCCACAATGGGAGTAATTGTTTAAACTTTCAATAAAACACAAAGGTCAAGATTTCTGAAACATTTTCTTCTTGAAATAAATACACATGTTCATCAAAATCGATGGCGACCACTCATTGTCAACAATTTGTGTGGGAGCGGGCTAGGATTATACGATTGTAGTGGGGAAGTGTGAGCTGCTGGTATGGGGAGCCGCCAGCCCTGGGCTTGCGAAGACACCACCTTTCCACAGTCGTCATTCAGTCTGTTTTGTTCGTAAGCTCATTCACCAACATGAACTTGTCAGCGCCAGGCAGCGCGATTCTTGGCGATATTCTCCTAGTTTTCAGTCTAAGGCACAGTTAATAATAATAATAATAATGATAATAATAATAATAATAATAATAATAATAATAATAATAATAATAATAATAATAATAATTTATTCATAAGGAAATACAATGGGTTGGTGAGATTACATAAGATTGGTATTTGTACATTCTTCTAAAGCCACTAACATGCACAGCGTTTCAGGCAGGTCCTTATTCTAACATATTAGGTAAGATGAAATGGTACATTGCAGGAAAGTTTTATATCAACAAATAACAACAATATAAATTGACAGAGCTGATTACATTGGTAAAGATATATGTCGTAAGTAATAATATTGGAGAAGTAGGTAGCACAAGATACAGTATGAGTTTGAAGCACAAGGTAGGAAACTATGAAAATTAAATTATGCTCGAAGTCTATTTCATCTGGATGTTGATTACTGGTGTCAGCTTTTGCATGAACACAGCCTCAAGCATACGAAGCCTTCTACTGTCGTCGGTGCGTGTGATAACTGTCGTATCTTTCACTATGTCTTGACGATTAAGGATAGTGTTTTAATATTGAGAATGATGTTGCTTAATACCTCCGTCTTGCTAAAAAGAGTAAGACGTCTACTCAGTGTACTAGACGTCCTACACTTCATTGGATATGGATATATCCAATGATGTTACGGTATCGCCACCTTCATTGGAGTATGGAGTGGCGATTGCGGCATCATCTATGAGTGGGCACCTCAGTTCCCCTGATATTGGACGCTACATGGACAACACCATCTATTGGAGGTGGATTGGCAGCTATGCATGGCTCCTGTTTCTTGCCTTGATCAGACAGTGAGGTCGACATGCATGGATGACCTCTCGTGGATGACAGGTCACGATCAGCACCATGTGCTACAGAGCATAATGTCAACTCTCCGGTGAGTGAGTGTTACCTCATGGTTTCCCCAGTGTACCATCTGTCTAATTGATGACGTTTTATGTCCACAGAAGTGATATGTGGAGGTGATTGTATTGAGGAAGGCAGTTTACCTTGGGCAGTCCACGTACTCTCAGCTTGGTCCTGGAAATTATGCCAAATGGTAGCTGCTAAAGCTGCTAAATTACGCAGATGGTAGAGATCGGCGTGCCCCGGGATTCACTTAGAAGAGTAACAGATGACAGTGAGGTGTCTAATTGCAAAGCGCTGCTAGTAGGCTGCCAGAGGCTTCTGCCAGGGGTTAGCTACCTTTGTATTTGGTTGTTTGTGACCCCTGTCAGCATGTTACTAAAGTCCTCTGCCAGTGGGTTGCTGAAGAGCGAAAGTGGGGTGAAACCACCTCGTGAGACTGTGTCGGTGGATTGGCCACGAAAAAGGTGAACTCGCCAGCGTTTGTCAGGGACACGTGTGCAAGGTACTGGGTGGTGGAAACGCTGGAGTAGGTGAACACTGCCAACGTAGTAGTGTTCTGATTGAAAGTGCCTCTACTGTAAATATGTGTAGTCATAATCTGTTTTATTTAAGACATTTTTAACAGTGAAGGTTTAAATATATTGATGAATTGAATAGTGTTTTGTTTATTCCCTCCTCCCCTTATTTTTTCTTTGCACTACTACAGTTCTGAAAACGCACTACCGACTTGGGTTCGGATATTATACAAGAGGTTATAACATCAAGAACACGGTTACTGGTCCTAAGTGGCTGTAACAAATGATATATCTATTTACATTGAGTAGACGTAGGCACTAAGACGTCTTGCACTTTATTTGTAAGACGGAGGTAATAAACATCATTCTCAATAACACAACACCATTCTTAATCGCCAAGACATAGTGAAAGATACGACAGTAATCGCACGCATCGACGATCGTATGAGGGTTCGTATGCTTGAGGGTATGTTCATTCATGAGCTGACACCAATAATCAACATCCAGATGAAATCGACTTCGAACATGCAACTGTTCGATGGTCCTAAATTGACCCAGAGGGAAGATGTAAGACCTACATTGGCGGACAGCTAGAAGCCGGAGTCAGGATACAATCACCAGCTCGCCCTACCCTTCCCCGCTTCCTACGATTAAGGGGGTAAGGTGAATCGTAGAGTGAGGTGTACCCCACACTAAATGTCTAGATTTATCCTTGTAAGCTGTAACTTCTCGCGGCTTACAAGGTTGTTAAAGAAAAACAACCTTGTAAGCCGCTAGAAGTTACAGCCCCGCTCTTGTGCCAGGTAAGCCCACCACGGGCTCACCATAGCCCGTGCTACTTGAAACATTTTGTTCCTAGTAGCTGAATCTAAAACAGTAAGTCCCCCCATACCTCTCTTGTAAGCTGTATTCCCACACAGCTGCCGGCAAACAACTGTACACTCCAGGTTCTCCTGACAATTCGAATCATTGCCATAGAACATGTGAAAGTGCGACTCCTCGGAGTCTACAAGCACTTTGAGCACGAAATTGCAGCAGCAATTGACAAGGCAACATCAGTTGGACCAGTTGACGTCCATATACATGGTAACGAAGCAATAAAAGTGGACCAACAGTAGATCCTGGATGGGGCCAGATTCATGAAAGTACTTACCCAGGTTTTTCTTTTTAGCTACGAATGTTTTCCTTCTTAGCGCCTTCGTGGCGGCTACGTCGGTATTCAGGTAGCTACACTAAGTCGAAAAACCTTCGTAAGCTTGGTCCGGGATCTAAGTGTGGTGTCAACCACTCGTAACTTTACGTAAACTAGATATAACTCAATTTTTCTCTACTACATAATACTGGAATCGATTTTAAGATTTTGGAACATAGACAAAAGATTATAGCAATTGAATCTCGTGAAGAGGAGTCTTTCGTGTGTGTTATATATGTATTCTTTGTTTGAAACTTTGAGTAAATATGTCTTTTATGATATTAGAATTAGTTTTATAATGGCAAGATATTATACCAGTAGTTATTAAGTAAATAAACACTGGTGAACATGAAATATGAGAGAAGGTGATGAGACCTGCCTGATGGGATCATTTACTATCACCAAATGCCCCTGTTCACCTAGCAGTAAGGGTGTACCTTAGCTATACATACTCATTTCTAATTTGTTTAGTTTGGTTTTATTTTGAAATTAAATCTGGGTGAGATATAAAATAAAAATATGCTGCACAAATGATGCTAGGTAAGAAGGGTAAAAATGTCAAAAACTTTATTAATTGAATACTTAAAGCTATAATTATGACTATATGGACTATTAAAAAAGAGAGAGGGAAGTAGGGGTCCAAGACCTCTTCTTGTTACACAACTTGGGTGTGGAATAAGTAATTATCAAAAGAAGGCACCATGCCGGGAAGGCTATGTAGCAGTAAGGCAGTGAGGTGAGGCAGCTACTTATATGAGAAATGCGTATTTTATTTACCTAATAAGCTGAGGCAGCTTTTTTTATTTGACCCCCTCCCCATCCGGCCCATTGGCGCCGTGAGGGGGCTTAGTGGACAGCTGTTGGAGTGTGATGCTCCGTAGAACTGTAGTACCCGACGTCTCGAGTGAGGGGAACCTTTTATTGTCAATCCCCCTTTCGTCGCTGAACCCGATCTCGACGGACTGGCGGTTCTTAAGGTGGCGTTTGTGGGGCGTATACTCACGATGCACCCCTAGGGGGCCCCGGCATGATCGGCAATAGCTTCCTGTTGGGTGTCCTGCCTCTAATTGTGGCTCCATGGTGGGTATGGGGGCACATTTGTGGATGAAGTTCTTTCTCTTCATCTATGTCGTTGAATGTTTCCGTTGTACCCTCTCAGGCTCGTGGGGTGGGCGACCAAGCCCCCGAGTCGGCCTGTATTGGAAGACCGGGCTCTGTAGCCCATGCTGCATTGGGCCCCGACCTTGCTCCTCCTTTAACCGTCCTGACTTCTTCCCACAGCTCCCCTCCCTCTTCTGTGGTTGGGTCCAGCCACAAGCCCCCAGTGGTGACCTCTTCGTCCCCTGGTGCGGCTAAGTCTCTCGTTGTGACTACTGCACATTTTGACCCTTCTCTCTCTGGGGGTTCTCAACGCCGTCAGCGCCACGGCCGCACTCGCTCGATTCCTTCCCGTGCTGACGCGTATCAGGACTTGTTTGGTCCTGCTTCGTGGGCCAAATACTTTGATCTCCTCCCTCTTGATTCTGCGCCTCCTGACGATTTCTCCCTCCATCGGCATCTCGTTGATTCCGTGGATGCGTCTGTTACCTTCAACCCCACTCGTCTCGGTACACGTGTCTTTGCTGCTCATTCTCAGGATGCAGCTTCCCGCTTGGCTGCATTATCCTGCCTTGGCGAGATCCCTGTTCAAGATCCCTGATCCCTGTCTCCAAGAACGTTCGGATGAATGCCAGTGTTGGCACTATTCTCCTCCCACCCCATATTGCAACCGGTGTTCGGAATCTGCAGGATTGCCACGATGATATTCGGCATATCCTTGATGCCCAAGGCCATTCTGTCCTCCAGGTTGACTCTTTCACTCGTCCCCCTCGTGGTCGTCGCCGTCAACCCCTTCGCGTTGTGATGATCACCTTTCATAGTAGGACCCTTCCATCCTCTGTCATTCTTGCTGGTGCTAGGTGCTCTGTCCAGGAGTATATTCCTTCTCCTCGGCTTTGTAACAAGTGCTGGAGGTTTGGGCATGGTGCCCTCCGCTGCTCTGGGA